CTTAAACATCGTGTTGGAATGTACAGTCTTAACAGATTTGATAAGTATGATGGTGCATTATCATTCAAACATTTGTGACATAGGGTGGCCAACTTGTACACAATCCTTTTCTCAACAGGAAGCAAATGCAAAGTTCGTAAAAGAGGTTTAGCAGAGTCTCGCTTTCTTTTCCGTAAAACTAAACGTGCAGCATTGTTTTGGACAGTTTGAAGTCTTTTCACTTTCTCCAGTGATATTCCTGATAACAAGGAGTTACAATAATCGAGTTTTGATAAAATTAAGCTAGTTACTAGTAAAGCAGTATACTTAGTATTGATCAGATGACGTAGTTTACTAATTTTTCTTATTTCTAAATACATGCAGCTGATCAGAGGATTTACCTCAGCCGACATTGACAAACTGGGATCAAAATAGATGCCAAGATTCTTAACTTTTCTTGAAAATGCAATTTTCGCATCACCAATTGTAATGTGATCATGGTCAATCTCTTTAACAGACATTGCATTGCCTGCCAGAGTGACTTCTGTTTTATCATAATTCAACATCAATTTATTTTTGTTCATCCAGTTTTTCACTGAGGCAATACAATTGTCAGCACGATGGGCAAGTTCATCTAAGTTGGTAAACAATGTTGAACCACACATTTGGGTATCATCAGCATAGAAATGATACTTTAAGTCATACTGAACTATTTCCTTGACAAGTGGTGGAGTATAAATGGTGAACAAAACTGGACCGAGGACTGAGCCCTGGGGGACCCCATACTTAAGAGCATGATCTGATGACTTAAGCCCTTAAATAACAACAGATTGGTAACGATTTGACAGGTAAGAAGAAAACCAGCTAAGGGCAGTCCCGGATAATCCAAAAGACACTTCCTATCGCTTCAATAAAATATGATGGTCAATTGTATCGAAAGTTGCTGATATATCTTAAAAAGTTTGTAGAACTGGACAGCTATATCATGATAACGTAAGTCTGTAGAACTGGACAACTGTATCATGATAACGAAAGTCTATGGTACAAGAAAACTTTGCGATGAAAACACAACCATGGATTTCTCAGAAGTGAAAGACAAGAGTATCACATTGCTATGGAACCAGGTAGTAGGAACTTTTGTATAACAGTGTGGAACAATATATATTTATGTATATATATATA